ATTGGCTATAGGGGGTGGAGCCATTTAAACTCCTGAAATCTGAGAAGGTTAAATTCTGCAGGCAAAGGAATTCTCTCTCTCTCTCTCTCTCTCTCTCTCTCTCTCTCTCTCGTTCCTCTTGCTTTGCTCCCTTCACAGCCATGCATTCCTAGAAGCACACACAATGGACTGCAGCTGGGCCACAAGCTAAGCTAGCCTGATGCTGGATTGGACTGTGCAAATATGGAGCAGAGGCTCTGGACAGTGGCTTGAATCCTAGCTCTGCTGAAGACCTAATGGGACATTTTTCTTGGCCAGATGGAAAAAGATGGGGCCATGGGAAATGAGGGGTTTAATTCCACAGATGTAAAACTTGCCCTAACCGGTTTGGCTCAGTGGATAGAGTGTTGGCCTGCGGACTGAAGGGTCCGGGGTTCGATTCCGGTCAAGGGCATGTACCTTGGTTGCGGGTGCATCCCCAGTAGGGGGTGTGCAGGAGGCAGCTTATCAATGTTTCTCTCTCATCGATGTTTCTGGCTCTCTATCCCTCTCCCTTCCTTTCTGTAAAAAAATCAATAAAATATATTTTTTTAAAAAGCTTTCCACGATACTTCATCCTCCCATGAGGGCCTTTGGAAATTCTTATTCCAGCAGCACTCCAAGAAGCCCACTTCCACCAGCAACAGGTGGGGCACAGAGAGCACCCCATCAATAACAAAAATATCTATCAAAGGTTAATGTATGCAACTCTATCTCACAAAAGAACTACACACATATGTTCAATAAGTGACATTTTTAAGAATGTTCAGAACAGTGCTATTCATAACAGTAAAAAACTGGAAATGACCCAATGTCCACTAACAGTAGAATAAACACAGTGTGGCATATTCAAACAACTGAAAACTTTACGGCAATGAAAATAAAGAAACTACTGCTACCTCAGCAACATGGCTGAATCTCACCAAAAATGTTGAGCAAAAGAAGTCAAATACAATAGAGTACATAGTGTATGATTCCATTTATATTAATGGAAAACAGTAGAAAACTCCTATCTATGGCAATAAAAGTATTGACATTAGTTACCCTTGGGAAGAACAGTAACTTAGAAGTACAGAAAGGGATGCCTGGCTGGCATGGCTCAGTGGTTGAGAGTCGACCTATGAACCGGAGGTCAGGGCTCGATTCCAGGTCAGGGCACATGCCCAGGTTACAGGCTTGATCCCCAGCGTTGGGTGTGCAGGAGGCAACCGATCAATGATTCTCTCTCATCATTGATATTTCTATCTCTCTCTCCCTCTCCCTTCCTCTCTGAAATAAAAATATATATATTTTTTAAAGTACAGAAGAGGAGCTTACTTTGTGATAATTCATTAAATCATACACTTAAGATTGGTGTTCTTTTTTATGTATATTATACTTAACAAAATTTATGAACAAATATATCCAAGAGAAGATATTCTCATGCCTTCTTCTTCTCCAGAGAATTCTTAATTCAGCAGGCATGCTGAGAAAAATAATCCATTGACCTCAGAACAATCTGCAAAGGCTCAGATGACAGGTATTCAATAAATGTTTGATGATGATGATGTTCCTTAAATAAGGAGTGACCAATATTTTCTCCTTCAAATATTTTCTATTATATTCACTGTTTCATTCAATACCAGACCAATAAAGTTGACCAGAAAATAAGAAATAAGAAGTCACCCCATGATAAGCACTGTAATAGAATTTTATAATTTGTTGAGAAATCCTGAAAGCGATGTTCAGATAATTAGCACAGAAGAGTTGAAGAGAAATCACTGAAAATTCTCGACTTCTTAGATCCTTGAAAGAACAGTTGAAAGAAATGAGCAAAGAAGTATGCGTGTTAATATCAAGTGTAACCATTTGTTATGGGTTGAAGTATGTCCCCCAAAATTCATATGTTGAAGTCCTAACTCCCAGTACCTGAGAATGTGACTGTATTTGGAGAGAGGGCCTTTCAGAAGTAATTAAGTTAAAATGAGGCCATTAGTGTGGGCCCTGATTCAGTGTGACTCGTGTTCTTATAGGAAGAGGAAATTGGAACACAGATACATACAGAGAAGATGTTGAAGAGAAGACAGCCGTCTATAAGCCAAGGAGAGGGGCACTGAATAGACCCTTTCTTTACAGCCTCAGAAGAAACCAACCTTACCAACACCTTGATCTCAGATTTCCAACTTCCAGACTATGAGATAATATATTTCAATTGTTTGAGCCACCAGTTTGTGGTACTTCATTAGAGCAAAGGAATACACCATTCATCATGGAAAGCTCCGAAACCTCAACACACTTAAGAGTTGCTGTCCCAGCCCTAACCGGTTTGGCTCAGTAGATAGAGCATTGGCCTGCGGACTGAAAGGTCCCAGGTTCGATTCCGGTCAAGGGCATGTACCTTGGTTGTGGGCACATAAAAAAAGAGTTGCTGTTCCATCTTGTCGCGCGGCGCGGTGTGTGTGTGTGTGTGTGTGTGTGTGTGTGTGTGTGTGTGGACTGTAAGCTCCTCTAAGGCCGGGGCTGCATCTACATTATTTATCACTTCCACTCATCAAGCCATCCCTTGGAGTTATATGTTCTCTACTTTTATTTTTTTGTTTGTCTGAAACACTAATTTATATTCCTCTCTCAAGGCCCACTTTTGTCTCATTCTCTCTTTGTGTCTGTGACCCAGAAAGCAGAGAAATGAGAAAAGGTCCTCCTGTTTCTAGAAACAATGGGTATGAGCAGTGCCTGTCATGAAAACACAAAGAAAACTTCCTTCCAGAAGATAAATGAATAGGGGTTTTACCTTCCCACTAAAAAGAGAAACTGAAGAGGGAAAAAAGTCACAAAGACAGAAATAAAAGGATTATACTAAGAAGTAGAGTGCTGCCGTGAGGAATACTGAAGCGCTAATGTAACCTTCCACAAACGTCATTTATCTGCACAGGAGGGCGAAGATCCTGGTCCCACTGTGAGCATTCCTTGTCTCCTGGTTCTACTTTTACCACAGAAAATGAGAAAATCCTTCCTCAAATGTACGTGTGGCCACAAATAGTATAGAATTAATTCAACTGCACCTATAGCAAACCTTCCAGAAATGAGTTACAACAATTTGTTAGGATTAACCTTTTGATAAAACATAAATTTGTCTATATTCAAAGCACTTTAAGGAGGTGCAGAGGTCCATTTTTATTATACAAATGCTGTATCAGCAAGGTGATGGAGGCCAAAAATAGCGATGCTGAGAATAGCAGCTGCTCGGCTGGACAGCATCTTCAGTGCTATAAAGCAGAAGCTTGGCATTTCGGCATGGGAAGAAGTGATTCACAACTGCATCTTCCTTGGTTAGTCCTAGAAATGCCAAGCCTGTAATTAAGGAGGGACCCTTGCAGCTACACACACCCAGTATGCAATGGCCAAGGAGTCTACATCGCAGCATTCTAAAATGTTTGCAGACATATGTTTTTAATATTCAATAGCCACTATCTGTAGAATTAGAGGCTATCAGACATTCCTAGAAACCATCCACTATAACACAGAAGAGTCCAAATTGCTTAGGAGATAAAAGCTTTCAGTGTTGGAAGTAGTTCAGGTACACTCAATTACTAGTACTTTCTAACACTGGCCAATAGCCCACACCCATACTGTCCTTTCTTAAAAGTGGGGGGGAGGGGTAAAACCACCCTGTTATTCGGGATATTTGCTTGCATAGATTACTTTGCCAATGTGGTTTTTAAAAATTAAATATATAATTAAATTTTGTATAACCAAATATTAATCAAAATTAATGCAGTGCTCCTGCTAATAGAGTTTCTATTTCAGGAACACAGACTGTCTATGCCAGATGACAAAGGTCTTAAGGGCTGAGTTGCCTTCTGGAAGCCAGGGTCTTCCTGAAGGCACTACTATGCTGTGTGGTGGCCCTTCTATGCCTGTAAGAAGCCCTAATAACTAATGGAGTTTGAGTGCTTTGTTTTTACTGCATGCAGCGATAACTATGAAAACGTTAGCACATTGGAATGCACTTATAGGATATTCAACATTTGTAAGCCATTTTATTGCAAGTCTCCGGTGCTCAAAAAGGTAAGTACCTGACCAGTTCTTCCATGATAAACTGTAGCAGGGGTGGAGACTCTGTTTTCTGCCAAGGGCATTTGGATATTTATAACATCATTCGAGGGCCATACAAAATTATCAACTTAAAAATTAGCCTGCTTGCGCAGCAAGGGCTGGCAACTGAGGACGTGGTTGTCTTTTTCAATCGGGAGGGAGACACAAGCTCCCGACTACTGCTCTGACCAGTTCTGGGAAAGTCTCTGGGGACCCAGACTCACACGGGGAGAAACTGGACTGTGGCATCAGGCAGAACTCGAGGGCGGCTTTCTCTCAGAGGTGCTTGCAGCGATTACCCAGGGACACTGAGACCTGGGACCTCTTAGGGCAGGACTGAAGATCATCCATAGCTGTTTGCTCCACCCTGTTGATTCTCTGAGACCCCGCCCCACCCAAGCTGTGCGCAGAGGCTTTTGCATATGAATGACCTGGCCCTTTGCAATCTAAAATTACCTAACAAACTTCAGCTGGGTCAGAGAGACTCAGAACATCCAAAAGAAGGCCCAAAGCCCCACAGCAGCTTGCATTGCTTCACAGCTGGGCCTCATCTGGGCACCTCCAAATCCCAAACAAAGAAGAGGAATCTGCAGATCTCTCCATAGCTCCTGCTGGGTAGCCTCAGGCAGAGGCTAAATTAGCACCTCCTTAGAGGTCCAAGTGCCAGTGTACTCAGTGGTCAGAGTGGGACCATCCAGATTATAACTCCTCAGATCCATAAGGGACACACTCAGGGGGCAGACTCAGTGAGCACCAAAGCCCTACTGAAGCAAGTCTTGCCTCAGAAGGGTGTCTCCAGCACAGAAGTTCTCCCACTGTAGACACAGCTGATTCTCACAGTCAATTGGCCTGGAGGTCAATTCCTCCCAGTGATTCCAACTACAATCAAGGCTTAACCACAACAAGACTGTGCGCACAGCCCATAAAGGGGTGCACCACGAGTGTCCACCTCAGTAATTGGGAAGGCTGAGCCACTGGGCCCTATAGGACACCTAGCACACAAAGCCACTCTATCAACACAGGGAAGCATAAAAATGTGGAGACAAAGAAACAGGTCACAAATGACAGAAATGGAGGAAAGCAAACTACTGGATATAGAGTTCAAAACCACGGTTATAAGGTTTTTCAAGAATTTTCTAGAAACCGCC